TCCCCGGGGGGGGGGTGAACAAAGGCCTCCTGTAGCGAATCGATGCATTTTTGTAAGAAAAATAACCATATTTGAAACAATAATCAATCGATTCGTCTGAAAGAAGAAAGTCATATACACCTAGGATGCCTTGAGGGTGAGTAATTTATGGCCTAATTTTCATTTTTGGGTGAACTAACCCTTTAAGAGTGAACTTTACAATTATAAGTAGGCAGTAGATGGACACTTTATGTTATTATTTCTATTTTTCTAACAGATTTAGATATATATTATGTTAATGATTCTTATCTCTCTCTCTCTCTCTCTCTCTCTCTCTCTCTCTCTCTCTCTCTCCCTCTCTCTCGCTCTCTCTCTCTCTCTCTCAATCCATTTTTCTAGACTCTGGACTCAAAGGACTTGAAGATCTTTAAGGTTTCTGCAAATGGCCAGGCTGCGCAGTTTGCATTGGGGACTAAGCATAAATTTAAGGGTTCCCCTTTGGAGATCACCCTGCCTTTTGAACTCTCACGGTACTGCCACAAACTTGTTCTGTGCTAAGATATAGCAGTTTGTTTTTTTCTCTTCTAACATTTAAGTTATTTATGGTATGTAATTCGCTGCCAAGATAAATGCATCCTGAAACATGCATACAAATGCATGCTATGCTTTGCAAACAAAGTTATCAGTAGTGAGCCAAATCTGAGCCAAAACTTCCTCAAAGGAAAAAAAATTTAATTATTATATAATTAATATTTAAATCTTTATTATGTAAATTATATTATATTAATACAAAAATGCAATAATTTAATGCATTCGATTTAAAGGAATAGTTCACCCAAAAATGAAAATTAGCTGAAAATGTACTCACCCTCACCCTCAGGCCATTCAAGATGTAGATGAGTTTGTTTCTTCATTAGAACAGATTTGGAGAAATTTAGCATTACATCACTTGTTCACCAATGGATCCTCTGCAGTGAATGGGTGCCGTCAGAATGAGAGTCCAAACAGCTGATAAAAACATCATAATAATCCACAAGTAATCCACACGACTCCAGTCCATCAGTTAATGCCTTATGAGGTGAAAAGATATGAGTTTGTAAAAGCGAATCCATCATCAAGCTGTTTCTAACTTCAAACTTGTTGTTTCTGGCTAAAATACTTCTAAAAGTATTCTAAAGTATTCTACTTCTAAAATCTTCTATCCATGATATTACTTTCTTTTTATTAAAATTCATTTACTTCCTCCTATAAGGAAAGAAATCAAAATAAAATAACATATATATTTTTTATTTTGCAAATTGCCAGCAGAAACTCTGCTGCAGCTTTGTAATCGACTTAAGCATATATAAATAATGTTTTATCAACTCTGACAGCCTTTTATTTCAATGCAAAGTTTTTAATCTTTGGCAACTTGTATTGCATTTGTGTATGTGTGGTTTAGTGGGCAGCATGTGATTGTGGAGATTGAATATGAGACATCTCCTAGTGCCACAGCACTGCAGTGGTTGACCCCCACACAGACTGCTGGGAAGAAACACCCATACCTTTTCAGCCAGTGCCAGGTACATCATGGGTGATATGAACAAAATCTTATATCACTATTTAATTTTTTATTTCATAATAACTCTCTCTCTCTCTCTCTCTCTATATATATATACAGGTGCATCTCAATAAATTAGAATGTCGTGGAAAAGTTCATTTATTTCAGTAATTCAACTCAAATTGTGAAACTCGTGTATTAAATAAATTCAATGCACTGATTAGCTGATTGGCATGTCACCATCTTCTAATTTGTTGAGAATGTGTGAATTGGTGGGTTTTTGTTAAACGTGAGCCAAAATCATCACAATTAAAAGAACCAAAGACTTAAACTACTTCAGTCTGTGTGCATTGAATTTATTTAATACACGAGTTTCACAATTTGAGTTGAATTACTGAAATAAATGAACTTTTCCACGACATTCTAATTTATTGAGATGCACCTGTATATATATATTTTTTTTCTCATCACCAATTTTGATGTCATGAGATCTACTAGACCAGAATTACAAAAAAAAAACTTTAAGCTTACTGAAGACAAGTAAACAATCAGCGAAACAATAGGAACACACACACACAAAAAACAAACCTAATTACGAACAATAGGACAAATAAATACAATAGAACAAAGACACAAATGAAGTAGACTTAAGACTTCAAGCACTATTTGTATACAGAAATAAGAAATAGTACATAAATTGAATAAAGCAATCAAATGTAAAAAAAGAAGTATAAATTTGTGTAAAAATGTAGAAATGTAATATAAATTTATGCTTATTAAAGTTGCACAAGTGATTCAATCAAGAACAGTGTGTGACTTTATTTGTCTTTGGTTGTTTGATTAACATTAAATGACACAGATAGCAGCAGGTATATTAGGTTACTGTCATTTTAAGATTTAATGCCCAGATTTAGTATACTGACACGCATCAGATTTTACTTCCAGCTGTTTATGTTCACTAAAGACATAACTGACTGTGTTTATGTGAATACTCACCAAGATGGCATTTTGATACAAAACTGGATTTATTAGATTTTTCAAGCACAACAAGATGCCAGTATGAAATTTAAGGTTTTAAAATCACTTGAAAATCACTTGGTTTTAAACTGCAAGGCATAAAAATGAATGCAAATTCTAAACTTTTGTAATGACGCAGCGCTACAACATCACGATCATCCAAAACCTCAAGTTATTATCAGTTTATCGTGTGTACCGGTTTATCGCCCACCTCGACTTGTCGCCATTTCTCATCTTTCTAGATGTGTGCAGACGTGTGGTTTGGGTGCAGTTTCCTTAAATATTATCATTTGTGTAATCTTGCATTACTAACCACAGTGTTTCACAGTCCTTGTGCTTCACTAGTTTATCATGAAGAGTCCATCTAGAGCTTGAATGTTGTAATAAGTTTTTAGTGCTAAAACTTTCCAGCATGTCCTATGGGTTTTTAGAATAGCAGATTTCAATTTGAGAGCAAACTACATGGGATTTTCCACTTTTCTTGGGTTCTATTCCATATACATTTTATCTCGAATGTGCATTTTGGTCTCGTCCAAAGAGGTTAGCCAATCGTAAGTGGTCATTTACATATAGATGTATTTAAGGTACAGTAGCAAAACAGCTTTTTTAATTTTAAAGGTGGAAAACGGACATGTAAATCTAAATTACAAGAGTATTGGTGTAATAAACCTTGACTTGCATTATAAGAGGAATAGAGTAAGGCATCTTTTATGCATTTTCAATGTGGGCAAACAAATGTTTCTTACTTTTTACTTGTTAGAAAGATCATCACACCAGCTTGTGGCTGAAAACTTTCCAGCCTTGGTTTATACAGTAGCGGTTTTCAATTTATGAGCAAACTACATTGCATTTAAAACTACTGTATGTTTTTTTTTTTCTTCTTTTTTTCCATTTTCTCTGACTTTTTTCATTTACTCTGACTGTTTCTACCTACAACAGGCCACTCACTGTAGGACCATGATTCCTTGCCAGGACAGTCCGTCAGTGAAGCACACTTACTATGCACAGGTGACATGCATAAGCAGCTCAAAGCACTAATTATACACTCAACAAAGCAGCAGTGAAGTGCATGCTAAGATAAATTATCTAAACTGAAAGAAAAATAATACTAATTAAATTCCACAGTAACACTGGGAACATTTTTCTGTGTCTCAGGTGTCTGTCCCCAGAGAGCTGGTGGCATTGATGAGTGCATTGCATGATGGTCAGGAACCAGATCCGAGCGACAGCAGCCGAGTCATCTATCGCTTCAGACAGCCGGTCAGTGTCACGTCACGAGCTGGTTTCCGAATGAAAATATATATAAAAAATTAAAGACATTCTGTCTTTATGTCTTTTTCTTTCTTGCAGGTCCCAATGCCTTCTTACCTCATTGCTATTGTCGTTGGTGCTTTGGAAAGCAGGTGATCCTTCTGATGCTGTTCTTTCTCTTGTCTTCCTTCTGTTTTGTCATGGTTTTGATTTCAGAACCATGCCCAATTTTTCATACGACCAACCATGTTTACATATTCAGCACTCAGCATTTAGATGTGGCTATTGTTAGTTACTTTATTTCACATTCATATAGGTTAGCCAATCATAAGAGGTCATATATAAAATATAAAGGTACAGTAGCTTACATAGCTTGTTCTAATTCAAAGGGCCATAAAAGGGTGGAAAATGGTCATGTACACTGCTGGTCAAAAGTTTGTAATAATGAAGATTTTTATTGAAACATTAATATTTAATCATTTAGCAGATGATTAATTCCTTTTTTTTGTTAATAAATAAAGAGTAGAAGAAGAAATAGAATAGATAGAGCTAGTGTTAGATAGGGTTTCCGCGGGTCCTTAAAAATTAGGCCATAGAAATTCTTAAATTGTACAAGAAAGTCTTAATTATGATTTTAGGAGGTCTTAAATTTGGGAACGGTAAGACAAGAATTGAGATACGGCTTAATGTGACGATTAAACTTCAAAAGGCTATGATTTTATTAAATAAACATGAGCAGTTTCAAAGTCTGGTGCTGCTGCTTTGTGTTCTGCTGTTACCGGGGAAACAGTTCTATTTCTGCCGTTCCGAAAGCGCCTCCTGCTGGCAGAGAATCAATTTTCATTTTTCAGTAAGTCTGTCTGCTGTTTCTGTTCAGACCAGTGCGAAAATCGACCCATTTTACGCCGCAAACACATGCTAATGCATTATAAAAATATAAAAAATTAAAGACACTAAGATCTATTTATATGTTGTTTAATTAATATAATAATTGATAATACACTGCAAAAATGCTTTTCTTGCTTAGAATTTTTAACAACATTTTTAAATTTAGTTAGTTTTTGCTTAAAACAAGGAAAAATATCTGCCAATGGGGCAAGAAAAATAATGTTGTTTTGCCTATGAATTAAGATTATTTTTATTACCTCATTGGCAGATATGTTTTCTTGTTTTAAGCAAAAAGTAACAAAAAATATATATATATTTTTTTTCAGAAAACAAGACTTAATATAAGTAATTTTGCTTCTTAAGTAAATGCATCCTGATTCAAGAATGTTTAGATTTAGATTTATACTAGAAAACAAGACAGTAAATACTTTTTTCAGTAAATACTTTTGACTCATCCCTTTTCTTAAATATGGTTTAATGGCTGAAATGTGAAGTTTATCATTTTATAAAACTTTTTGTTTTTGTGAAAACCTGTATCTGAACTGTAAATCATGATTTTTACAGTCATTTTACAGTTTAGTATGTTACCATAGACATTGCTCTACCCCGCTCATATGGTCTTAATTTTATTTGTGCAGGTGTTAAAAAGGTCTTAAGTCTTAAATGTGATTTTAAAAATCCTGCAGATACCCTGGTTAGAGTCAAGTTATTATTAATATTTTATTATAATCATTATTATTTTTAATATATGTAATAATTAAAAAGAAAACTAGTAGATTGAATATAAAAAGAATAGAGAATGCTAGTGTTAAGGCCCGCTCACACCAAGAATGATAACTATAACGATAACTATATTAGTGTCCACACCAGCGGATGATATCATTTGTTTCTTCTAAGCGCACACTCGTCTGACACTTTAAATTCTCGAGCTCATTATAGCAGGATTGATTCTGATTGGGTGTCGATGATTTTATCGTTCATCAGCTCGAGAAAATCGTACTGAAAGTGATTCCAATGATATCGTTTCTCTGTGCCTTTATCGTTCATAGCTGTGGTGTGGACTCTTTTTTTGCTTTTGTTTTTAATAAATAAAAACAAGTAGATAAAATAGAATAGAGAGTCAGAGTGCATATGGAAGAGCTGTTTCTTGAAGATCTGCTTGGATCAAGTTGGGCAGGTCATTCCACCAGCATGAACAGTTGTAGCGAGTTGTAATCCGTGTTGAAAACAGTTGATTGATCTAGTTCAACAGTTTAAAACTGCTTCGTATTTTTGTGGAAACCGTGAAACATTTTTTTCAGGATACTTTGAATAGAAAGCTCAAAAGAAAAGCATTTATTTGAAATAGAAGTGTTTTGTAACATTATAAATGCCTTTACTGTCCCTTTTGATCAATTTAATGTGTCCTTCCTTGCCTAAAGTATTAATTTCTTTAAAAAAAAAATCTTGCACAAAACTTAGAATGGTAGTGTATCACTGTATGTGAAGCAGCAAAAATACAAAAATATCGAGCAGCTCAACTGTTTTCAACATTGATAATAATAAGAAATGTTTATTGAGCATCAAATAGGCATATTCGATTAATTTCTGAAGGATCATGTGACACTGAAGACTGGAGTAATGATGCTGAAAAATTAGCTTCGCAACACATGAATATATTATATTTTAAAATAGAAAACGTTATTTTAAATCGTAAAAATTTTCACAATATTGCTATTTTCACTGCACATTTAATGAAATAAATGAAGCCTAGGTGAGCATAAGACATCTTAATAATTCCAAACATTTAAGATTTATGTGCACGCCTCCCAGATGAAGTGTAAATGTGACCCTGGACCACAAAACCTTAAGTCTTAAGTCGCTGGGGTATATTTGTAGCAATAGCCAAAAATACATTGTATGGGTCAAAATTATTGATTTTTCTTTTATGCCAAAAATCATTAGGATATTAAGTAAAGATCATGTTCCATGAAGATATTTTGTAAATTTCCTACTGTAAATATATTAAAACTTAATTTTTGATTAGTAATATGCATTGCTAAGAACTTCATTTGGACAACTTTAAAGGTGATTTTATCAATATTTCGATTTTTTTTGCACCCTCAGATTCTAGTTTCTCAAATAGTTGTATCTCAGCCAAATATTGTCCTATCCTAACAAACCATACATCAATGGAAAGCTTATTTATTCAGCTTTCATATGATGTATACATCTCAATTTCGAAAAATTGACCCTTATGACTGGTTTTGTGGTCCAGGGTCACAAATAACTGCTTGTGGTTTACAGGGAAATTGGCCCCCGATCCAGAGTTTGGTCTGAGAAGGAGTATGTGGATGAGGCAGCGTTTGAGTTTTCAGAGGTGAGAGGAGTCGGTTTTTTGCACTAGACTGCGTTTTCAGCACTTGTGAATGTTAGATGCGGAGAGATGGTGATAAACGCATCTTAACACCAGTAACCACACATTACTTGAATTTGTTAGTCATCTTATATGACTAACAGATAACACCGTTTTCTGCTTTCTGTTCATCAGACTGAGACCATGTTGAAGACGGCTGAGAGTCTGGCAGGGCCGTATGTGTGGGGCCAATATGATGTCCTGGTGCTGCCTCCGTCTTTTCCATACGGGGGCATGGAGAACCCCTGCCTCACATTTGTCACTCCCACTGTACTGGTCCGTATAACTCCTCTTCATAGATATATGCAGACTTTTGCAACTAGTAGATGCATTCACAGAGACATGCAAATCCACATTTAGAGACTGAAAGTAACAAGTTTTCAATCACTGTCTATGAAGGTTCTGCACAATTCCTGTAAACTGACATACAGTATAAAACATAGATAAATGTGTTAAAACATTATACACTAATATTTCAGTGCTTGGGGTCGACAATTTTTAAAAGAAATTAATGCAAAATTTATCAAAAGTGATAGTGATGCTTTAATAAATGATCATTAATAAATGATGTTCATCTAAACTTTCTATGCATTGTCCTGAAAAAAATGTAGCACGGTTTCCACAAAAATATGAAACGGCATAATTGTTTTCAACATTGATAATAATAAGAAATGTTTCTTGAGCACCAAATAAAAATAATTTCTGAAGAATCATGTGACACTGAAGACTGGAGTAATGGCTATAAAAAAAAATAGAAAACAACTTTTAAAATTGTAATAATATTTTATGTTTTTACTGCATCTTTGTTAAAAAAAGCAGCTTTGGTGAGCATATATATATATATATATATATATATATATATTATACAATATATTGTACAGTATATTATTATGTATTATATGTTTGACATTTTATTGCTAAGTAATGCATATTTCTATAGTAAATATATTTTTGTGTATATTTTCTCTTTTGTAAAATATTTAACTGACTACATATTGCTCTTGTTCAACTGGAGAGGTCATGGAAGTTTAAATTCATTGGTCGAAAAGTGTAATAACCCTGAGTGTTAATGAAATATTCTTGTTTTTGTTATTATTATATAATAAACAGAAACATATACCAGAACCACATTGAACTAGAGTGTAAAAAAGCAAAGATAAATAAAATAATTAAAACTAAAAAGTGATAAAACTTCTGTTTGTTTATATATATATATATATATATATATATATATTATACAATATATTGTACAGTATATTATTATGTATTATATGTTTGACATTTTATTGCTAAGTAATGCATATTTCTATAGTAAATATATTTTTGTGTATATTTTCTCTTTTGTAAAATATTTAACTGACTACATATTGCTCTTGTTCAACTGGAGAGGTCATGGAAGTTTAAATTCATTGGTCGAAAAGTGTAATAACCCTGAGTGTTAATGAAATATTCTTGTTTTTGTTATTATTATATAATAAACAGAAACATATACCAGAACCACATTGAACTAGAGTGTAAAAAAGCAAAGATAAATAAAATAATTAAAACTAAAAAGTGATAAAACTTCTGTTTGTTGATGGTCATATTCTTTCGTCGTGTTTTTCAGGCTGGAGACCGATCCCTCGCTGGCGTAAGTCATCTGTGCATGAAAACATTTTTAGGATAATGTGGTTCATTTGTTAATTTATAGGTTAAGAGGTTAATTTGTTGGAAATCACATATCTTCTGCTGATGTGAATGCTCTCTGTGCTTTTGGTTTTGCTGCAGGTCATTGCTCATGAAATCTCCCACAGCTGGACGGGGAACCTGGTGACCAATAGGACCTGGGAGCATTTCTGGTCAGTCCGAATATGCCAGTCATTCCTGAATATGCCGATCCGAATATGCAAAAGAGGCATCTTTTGGTTGTAATGATCGGACAGTGTTCAGTAGTACTTTGAACTGCTTCATTTCAGAACGGCTAGAAAGATCCCGTTTTCTATGATATGACCCCTTTAATTTTTTTGAACCAGGTTGAATGAGGGTCATACGGTGTACATTGAGAGAATGATTGCCAGGTGTATGGAGAGTGAACAGCTCAGGCAGTTTAAAGGCATCGGAGGGTGGAAAGAGCTTCAAGAGTCTGTAAGTCACACATAACTGTTATCTGATCCTCACAGGAAATTACAACAGATTAGTCTGAAGATCTGAAATCATGCAAATTATGCACTGTGCTGCATCAACAATTTTTTCGTTTTTCTGTCTGTTTGGTGATTTTCTGTTGAGATTTCCTGATGCAGTTTACTGGTAAACCAAGTCACTATTGTATTGTTTTGTAGGTGAAACAGTTTGGAGCGAATAATGTGCTCACAAACCTGGTCCCAAATCTGCATGAGGTGGACACGGATGAAGCATTCTCCTCTGTGCCCTACGAGAAAGGGTTTGCTCTGCTGTATCATCTGGAGGAACTGTTGGGAGGTCCAGGTACCCACACAAAATACTTTCTCCTCTCCCAGTTTAAACTGCTAAAAGTAGATCTAAAGTTAAAAGGTCAAGATTTATAAAATTCTCTCATCATTTACCCACCCTCATGACTTTCCAAACCTCCAAACCAGTTTCTTTCTTCTGTTAAGCACAAAAGATTTGTAGAATGTGGGTAACCAAACAGTGGACGGTAGCCATTGACTATCATAGAATTTTTTCCTTGATGATAGAATTTCTGACTGAATTTGAATGACAGAATATAAATATACAATATTAACAACAATAAAATATGCACAAAATAGTGTTAATTTATGTTAATAATATTTAAATAAATATACAACCATTAAAATATAATTAAATGCATTTTAAAAATATAGAACAAATATCTATACCAATTAAAGGAAAAATAGTCTTTCGCTGCCTTTAATTATAGAGGTCTTCATGGGATTCGTGAAGTCTTACATTCAGCTGTTTGCCTATGGCACTGTAACCACAGAGGAATGGAAGAACTATCTGTTCACTTACTTCAAAGACAAGGTGAGAACTAATGCACTATGTACTTGAATATATACATGCATAGTTTTTGTATGCAAGATGCCAAATAAAGCCCAGTAATATAGGAATACACATAGTTCCAGGCTTTTGTCCCCCAAAAAATAAATAATAAGAATGCTAATGGAATGTGTCTCACGATTTGGAACCATTCATGGTGGGATCAAACAAATATCCTGTGAGAACTCTAAAGAAAATTCTATTCTATTTACTGTGTAAATGTCTCTGTTTGTGTCTCTGTCAGGTGGACATCTTGAATAAAGTGGACTGGAACGCATGGATGCACACTCCGGGAATGGCACCCGTCAAACCACAGTGAGCACTGGAGCACACATTTGGATTTTGTGTGTGTGTGTGTGTGTGTGTGATTTGATTTTAACTTGTCCTCTTTGTGCACAGGTATGACACCACAATGGCAGACGCTTGCACTGCTCTGTGCCAAAGATGGGTGAAAGTGTGTCTTTCTCCTGTTAAACCACACCAAAGCCTTTCACAGTTTTGAAGCTTTTCTAAATAATATAAGTTTAAGCTTCCTTTTTTTCTATTAAGGCAAAAGAAGAGGACTTTGCAAGTTTCACTGAGGCAGACGTGAAGAAACTCAACTCTCCTCAGCTCATTGAGTTCATGGCTTTCTCTTTGTGCACAGGTATGACACCACAATGGCAGACGCTTGCACTGCTCTGTGCCAAAGATGGGTGAAAGTGTGTCTTTCTCCTGTTAAACCACACCAAAGCCTTTCACAGTTTTGAAGCTTTATAAGTTTAAGCTTCCTTTTTTTCTATTAAGGCAAAAGAAGAGGACTTTGCAAGTTTCACTGAGGCAGACGTGAAGAAACTCAACTCTCCTCAGCTCATTGAGTTCATGGCTTTATTGCTCCAAGAGGTGCTAAATAAGTTAAAACAGCTGAAAAATTCCTTAAATTGATGGAGGGACCCAAGTCATGTCTAGACACCACAATATCTTGTTTAGGTTTTGTCTTGGGTCTGTAAGCAACCACCATGAACATCCTAGCAATGATCTAGTAATTGCATAGCACTTATTGAGTCACTAGCAAGAACTGTTCACATTTTTTAATGTAAGTATGATATATTTTTTTTATTGATGATCGAATTTTGCATAAGCGAGAACCGTTCACATTTTTATATAAATGTGGTATTTTTTTTTTTTTTATATTTTAATATTTTATTTAAATATTCAACATTTATTTTATAATTAAATTTCATATTTTGTATATTTATTTTTTATTGTGGAACTCTTTCAGAGTGCATAGCACTTATGCATGAACTGTTTAAATTTTTGAATGTAAATGTGATATTTTATGTATATATTTTATTTAAATATTTAATATTTATCTTTAATTATTTAAATAAATTATTTTTTATATTTAAACCGACTGTATAGCACTTTTTTTTATAGCGGTTTTGCACAAGTAAAAAAGTAAACTTTTTTTTTTGTATCTAAATGTGATAGTTTTTAATTTAGTTTTTAAACATTTATTTGTAATTATTAAATTTTTAATGTAGAAATCTAGTTTAGTCTGTAATACAAGTATGTTGTTGCAGAGCTATTTAAGTGATTTAAGTCGAACACATTTAGCACTGCAGATCAAAAGACAGAGGAACTGAAAGCAGAAGTAGTCTTGAAATGTTTCTGTCTGTTTCCTTTGCATACTGCTTTGTATCAGGAGCCCCTTCCTCTGTCCCATGTGAAGAAGATGCAGGAGGTCTACCAGCTAAACAGTGTTAAAAACGCAGAGGTCCGCTTCAGGTAAGCACCCTTTTTTTTTTTTTTCAGTATTTGATGGTGTCACACTGTTTATGTTTATGCAGGTGGTTGCGCATCTGTGTGAAGGCACATTGGGAGGAAGCCGTTCCCCTGGCGCTGAAGATGGCTACCGAACAGGGCAGAATGAAATTCACTCGCCCCCTCTTCAAGTAAATTCATTCGTTTTGAGAAGTCTATAATTTGACCAAAACAACACAAAAAAATGGGGTGACTTGTTAAAAATGGACCAAAAGGAACAGGATGTTACAGAGAGTTTTGTAATTTCCTTGCTACAGCGAGCAACCGTTCACACTTCTGTTTTCAAGCGTCCAGAGCTCACCAAGGCCATTTCAAAATGCACTTTCTGACCTCCTTTCCCTTCCTTTTTTCTCTTTTAGGGAAGTTTACAACTTCTCCAAGTACAGTGACGAGGCAGTGAAGACTTTTAAGGAGAACCGTGGAGCGCTGCACCCCGTCACAGCCATGATGGTGGTCAAAGATCTGAAAATCAATGGCTAAAATTCTGCTTTCTGTCCATCTTATACACAGGCAGTGTTTTTATGCTTCAATTTAGTCCTCAGATACAAAACTGCATATCACACCTTGAACAGACAGGTTGATGTGCAGAACGTTTTTTTCTTCATTGGCCAAAGCTTGCTTTTTTTTTTAATGTCTCAGTCTCAGGGTTTAGAACAAATAAACATTTTCAGTATCATGTAGTTCAGTGTTAAAAAATGAGCATTGGAATGAAGGATCCACTATATCATGTCCAAAGTGATGTTCTGTAATAAACTCATCTGTGCAAGAGGTTTCTACTCTTTTATTCAAAACCAAATGTAACATGATGCACAATAAAGTTGCATAGCACATAAACATAGGCTTTTCATATGTACATCTGCTCAACGTACATATTTTTTTTTTTCTTTTGAAAAAAGACGCACAATTTAGTGGGTATAAGAATTTCTAGTTCACCCACACATGAAAACTGGCATTTGCTCGTTTTCATATGACTTTCTTTTGAAGAAATTCTAAGATGACACACACTTTTTTTAAATGCATAAACAACACTATTTTAAGGTATTTTGATTAATGCAAAGGCGTTTTGGAAGTGAGTCAGTGACCCAACTTGAAGCATCTCATCTGGAAAAAATAAATAAATAAAGCGCGGTTTTCCATCCGTTCCACTAGGTGGCATAAAAGGGCTTCACTTTCAACCTAACACCTTTTGATCCTTGACAACAATAACACTTCATCACATTCATGTCTCTTTAATGCCATGAAAGTACAGATTCTGCATTGACAGACCCTCAGTGTCACTCAATTACAGCCCGTCGGCAAACAAAGCGACACAACCTCACCTGTAAGTAACTTTCTGCATAAAAATATTATTATAAAACTAACTTCTTAGACCTTACTTTTCTTAGTATTCAGAGACAATAACATATTATATAAAGGTATATCTACTCCAATTTCTGTAATTGAGACACTACTTTGTGTTTACAAAGTGTTTGTGCTTTTGCTGTCTGTATCATAGTTAAATTATATATGTAAACATAAACATGCCCTGCGTCTCAATGTTCATACTGTCCATCCTAAATAGTATGTGAGACTAGAATAAGTGTGTCCCAAAGCATAGTATGTTGTTTTTGTGGTATGGGAGGAAAATACTATATACATATTTTAATAGCATCTTAATACATTACGCCATGTTAAGTGTTTATGTTTTTCTACAGGAGGAAAACGCTTAACGATGCAAACGTGGCGGATGTTCGCGATCGACGGTTAGGTAGAGAGGTTTACAAAAAGGGGGTTGAGTAATCAAGATAATCAACATTTAACCTGGTAAAAAATATTTATTTATTGTTATCCGTGTTATATTTCATCTGTAGCAGCAATGTGAACTTTTATAAACATCCATTTGGTCGTTAACTTTTAAATGCATCATTATGCAGAAAATATGAGCGGAGTTCTCTGCATGAAAGACCCGCGACCGCCAGATCAACCAGCTACTTCTTTTCTCTTCAGTATGGTAGGAAGTTAAATTAAATGAAATGTGGAGGATGTTAACTGTGACAAGATGATTGACAGGCCAGTTTACAGTGACAGGGTACCTGTAACAGGTGCGACAGAGCGGTCCTTTAAAGACAGTTGTGTGACGTGATAGTATGTCCCAAAGATTGCCTACTCCTCTACTACACACTCAAGAGTGTGTACCTTTTCTTCACCAAAGGAATAAATACTTTAAGGGCGTAGTATAAGTCTCATTGCTTGAGACGCAGCAATGGACATCACAAAAATACACTTATCGCCACCTACGGGCGTATTTATGTTTCACCAACACTAATGTCTATAAATTCATTGAGCATGGATGATATTATTTGCTTATGAATAATTATTCATCGCAGTTATTTATGGACATAGGAAATATACTACACACTCAAGTGTGTACCTTTTCTTCACCAAAGGAATAAATACTTTAAGGGCGTAGTATAAGTCTCATTGTTTGAGACGCAGCAATGGACATCACAAAAATACACTTATCGCCACCTACGGGCGTATTTATGTTTCACCAACACTAATGTCTATAAATTCATTGAGCATGGATGATATTATTTGCTTATGAATAATTATTCATCGCAGTTATTTATGGACATAGGAAATAATAGTCAAGAAATCTCTCTCCCTCTCTATATATAAAATGTAAAGTTTGTTGACCCTTTAGAATTTTTTTGTTTGCATATTTGATACATCAGGCTTTTATGGCTCATATAGTTTGATATAGAGAGAATATGGTGCAGCTGCTGATATTTATATATGGCCAAAAAGATGAAATTCTGACAGCTTGTAATGTAAACCACTGAGATCAATATAGCAAACTGCTTATGTAAAATGCATATAAATAGCAGATGTTACTCTGTATCTATCAATTATATGTCTCGCTAAGATACTTAAATGCTTAGTTTTATGCTCTTTGGTTTATACTTTGGGGCAAAATATATCATCCAAAGCAATATCATGATGGTTGAGAGATGTACAATTATGTTTTGAAAATTGTCCTTTTACCTGCTAAAATATGAACTATCAAGCAGACGACAGAAGGCATGTAGCTGATTGTTTACAGCAGATTTTTCAGCAAAGTTTTGATCATGTCAAATATTTAGAGGGTGGTAAGCGGTAAACCCATTTGCTAATACTCAGCTTTCACCATCCATGTTAGCCCACACAATGAGCTGCTGACAGTATGCAGACTACCCGAAGGAAAAACATTAGAAAAGAGAAGTCATCTTTGAGTATTATTAGTCAGCGTTGGTAAATAGAGCACCAGCACTAATTCAGTTTAATATGAAAAATATCCATTTTCATTCACATGTTTAGAGTTAGTTCTAATTATTTATGTTATATTATTTAAAAGAATGCTTGATTGACTAATATTTTCTGTGACTGATGTTTTAATCATAATTAACTTTTCTGGTTTCTTTTCTGCAGATTTTCCTCATTGTGACGCTGCTCTCCAGTGCCACATCTGGAATATGAACCATCAGCATCAGCAGTGCAGCAAGTGAGTCATCTTATGATATTTGTTTCTTAAGTCTGTAAAATTTCCAGTGATCTCAAGTAAATGATCCAATGCAAAATGATTGAACTGTAGTTAAGTTAGAAGCTTAAAGGTCCCATATTGTCAAAACTGAAATTTCCTGGCTTTTTTCATGATAATAACTGAGGTCTAGGCGCTATGTAACTACCATATACGTTTCAAAACAGTCAGTCCACAGTAAAATGCACACAGCCTGCATAAAGTAGCTGTGATTTTTCACGAACCGTTGTGACTTCTGTAAAAAGTTAATAAGACTCCAGAAAGGTGTACAATATGGGACCTTTAATGTAACGTAAATGTGTTTACTTATTTATTTTTTTTTAATGTGTGTAAATGCATTTATTTCTTATAGTAAATGAATATTTATATTTGTGTGAGGTGGTGTGGCTGAGTGGTCAGAGCTCATATCATAAGACATCCCTGGTATGTGTTTTCTGCTACAGAAGTGAACAAAAAGGTGTTTTTTCCCTTAAAAAAAAATAAATAAAAAAATCCACTGAGCAACAGGGTTTGTGATGATTTGATGATGTGGTTTTTCAAGGGTCTTGTACACTCGGAGTAGAAATACAACAATTTTTTACTACATGGCATTGTCATCTGAAAGTACAGGTTAAATAACATGAATTGTTAACATTACTGTATGGCGTACCTTGTCAGTGTCGTGCGCTTTGCTTGGCCATTTGTTGTGATAAACAAGTGGCAGAGCATTGCGTTAGCAGCGCAAAAGGTCATGGGTTAAATTCCCAGGGAACACACATACTGGTAAAAAAAAAAAATTATAGCCTGAATGCACTGTAAGTCGCTTTGGATAAAAGCGTCTGCTAAATGCATAAATGTAAATGTAATTGCCTAAGAAATTCCTTTATATTATTTCAGGTTTACATTTCTATGGAATAATTTACCTTTTCACCTTTTAATTTCTTGCATACATTAATTATTAGCGGCATCGAATCGCCACATAGAGGCTTGGTTTGTTCTCAGACCAGTTCTTACATCCGGACTCAACTTGTTTTGGATTATCGCTTTCAGTGTGAAAAAGAAAGACCCTCCTTTTTATTTTCTGTCTTTCTTTCATTGATATTCCAAAAATATATAATGATATAAAACTGCGCATACACTTTATAACCAATAAAACAAAATATAATTAACATGAAGAAAGTAATGGATAGTGCAATGGAACACTATTCTCAACAAGGGTAACACAAATTCAGACTTTATTTAAAATGTAACATATTACTACATAATAAAACAATAATAACTCCTATTAACTACAAATAGCTAGGCCTATATAACATGTTTCATAAGCACTCACAGCTTGAAAAGACACAGCTAATGAAATATTCACATGTCACAGCTAATCACCAATCATTGTAACTCACATAAATCACCACAGGAGGGCGCAGCCTGATTAAGTTCATTAGACTCGATTTGTATTGGTGTAATTCATAAAAATCGCCACAGGAGTGTGCAACCCGTTTATGTTTATTAGACTTGATTTGCTGCGGTGTAATTCACAAAAATCCACAGGAGGGCGCAACCAATTTAAGTTAATTTTTCTCCATTTGTATTGGTGTAATTCACACAACAACGATTGCATAACTCAGTGGATAATGTGTTTTCCTTCATACATTGGAGTCTTGGATCAAATCCCACAATTGGTGAAGTTATTCATCATTTACAACCAAGCTCTCAATAAAAACCCATTAAAAATGTTCATCAACTTCACTGGCTCAGGCGATAAACTGTTGCGTATAAATCATGGTGTGTTGAGTTCATAATCATATCCCACCGCTGCTTATGTTAAATTGTTCTCATTAAATCCCACTAAGTCACTCAAACAGCAAGACTATGTGAGCGCGCTGGTGGATAAACACTTGCTCTTTGAGTACAAGATGGTGATGGAGACATGAGTTCAAATCACACGGCAGATAATCATATTTACAGGATAGTTTATTATAAAATCACAGGTCACTTACAGGTTGACAGTAAAATATAAGTTCCTGCACAGGGACAGACATGAGATCTGTGGCTCACAGATAAAAGAGCTGTCTCATGGTTTCAGATGTTGTTGGTTCGATCCCAGCCAGATCTCACTGATATTAATGTTTCTTTTCATTTAAAACAAAGATCTCAACAAAATACCATCCAAAACACAGCTTAACATACCAACCTTAGTAGCTCAGTTCATAAAGCGTTGTGGTTTACTCAAGGAGATCTGAGTTCGAACCCCATTAATGCTTATGCTATATTGTTGGCCTTATATCCAACAAAGTGCCCCAAACGCCATCACGCAGCGTAAGAGCCACGGTGGCACTAGTGGCTAAACAGTGT